TATGTCAATCATTATTAGATAATGAAAGTTTAGAAAATTTCAACTGGTTTTTCAAATGTCTAAAATCAGCAGTTTCCGATTCACCAAAGGTCATTATGAGTGACCACGACTTAGCAATGGAATCAGTCATAGAACAACAATTTCAAAACACACATCACTTTTTGTGTCTATATCATATTTATCAAAATCTCAACAGGAATGTAAAGCCCAAATTACAAAAAAAATATAATTATTTCATTTGATAACTCGTGGGATCAATTAATACAAAAATACTTTAATGGAAATGTTGAAATAAGTGGGCATGGTGTTGGAAAAATCAAATAATGATGGCTGGTATCAAAACAACTTCGTGTTTAGAAGGTTATCATGCAATCATAAAAAAAAAATTACATTCTAATTCAAGTCTTGTTGAAGTTTTTGAAAAAATTGAAAATGACATACAAAAAACAGAAAAAATTAAAATTAACAGTTGGTATTTGAGTAAAAACATCAATTATGGGTTTAACAACACCATAATTGATGTATATAAAGAAATAATTGCAAACATGAAAATACACTTATCAGACTTTTCTCAGTCTTTGATTAAAATAGAAATGGTGTCTTCATATTTTTATCAATGCAATATTTCTACAATTGAAGAATTATGTGTTGATAATTCTGATAATGATACTAATACCAATGACATTAATAATGAGGATGGCAATTACTTTGATATTTTTGATGTAAGAGGTTCTTCATTACGTGAATTAATCTTGGCAGCTGAAGAAAATCCATCAGAAATTTGGAAATTATATCACTATAATTCAAATAAAAACCAATATGTCCTTGTTTTTGCTGATGGTTCATATGTGTGTACTTGTATGCTCCTATCAAATCATGGAATAGTATGCAGACACTTTTTTGTAGTTTTAAGAAGTAGCAAAATCTTAAAATTTCATATAAGTGTGATCGCAAAAAGATGGTTTAAGGATCCAATAGATGATAATAAGTTGAAAAAGGAAAATATCTTGAGTAGTAATTGCATTAGGACTTACAA